TTTGATGAATTTTTGCATCTCCTCCTAAAATTAGACCATTACTTCCTCTCTGTAATGGTTGTTCAGGACTGTAGTTGCTGTGGGTCTGTACGGACACGTTGAGCTTACGTAGCCATTGACCAAGTGAAGATATGTCTTGAGGTCATGGCAGGTGGCAACGTTCATACTGTTGAGGTACGGGGAGTCCCTGCTGCAGAGCTTGAGCTCTCTACCGACGTCGGCGTATACCCACTGTGTCTCCTCCATGCGCTTTTGGATCCAGCTTGGCAGACCTGATGACACCTGGACATTGCCGTTGCTTTCCACGTCAGCATCCTCTTCGATGACAAATCCGGGTACTTTTGTTATCAGGTCATCCGTGTTTACTATTCTCAGGACTTTCGTCCCCTGTTTTTCCAGTTCACAACCAAAATTCCGGTTTCCAACCCGTGGACAGCCAAAGGAGATGACGGTTACCATCGGTGCACGGTTGAAGGTGGTTTTGATGTCGTAAGCTGTGAGTGTAGCGAGTGCTGCACCAAGACTGTGACCCGTGATGGTTATACTCAGAGGCTCATCCCCATAAATTTGGAGCAGCCGTGAGATCTCTTCGCGTACCATATCTTGAAGACTTGGTGAGGTGGCAGTGCGAGAAGTGTAGAGGCTCAGGAACCCACTTTCCACCATGGGCGCAGAGCTATCAGCAGGATTCTGATCAGGTTGAGCATCTGGGAGATGAGTGAGAGTTGCTCGAAAATTCTCGAGCCACTCCAGGCAGGTAGCAGTGCCTCTGTAAGCAATCAACACATCTCTCCGGCCTAGCCTTGAGATTTCCTTCTCGTCCTGACAGACTGCGACATAGCCAATCCAGCTGGATCGAGTTGCCATCCAACTTGGTGCCTTTTCGATCCAACTTGCAGGAAGCTGAATTCCTGCCGTGGCATGCAAATACTTGGTCAGGCTATACCCTGTTCCACTTAATCCCGAGCACTGCAGCATTGTGTTCTGGGGGAACCGGCATTTTGCATGTGTTGGAGAAGAGGTGTCAAAGTCAAAAGACTTATAAGCAGCTTCGACGAAATGCCCGTAACGAAGAATTTCGCTGCGTAAGTTATTGTCCAATGGGTCAAGTAGACCCTCCCAGTTCTGGATCCCTTGGTATTCCATCCATTTCTTCCCGATTCTAACCGGTTTATTATAAGAAGTAAACCCGTTAGAAGGAAACCCACGGCCGGAGGTGGATGTGGAGTTGGTGTCAACTGGTTCAAGCAAGCGTTCCCATTCCCAGACCCGCTGTTTCTGTATCGACTTCTTGTTAGGTTGCGTCAGCAGCTGAGCAATGGTGCAGCCACGGATTACATGGTGATCAGTACTGGTGGCAGCTGAAGTAGTGACTGATGATCTGGGTGTGGCTGCTGCTGCTGGTGTTGGGAGTGGACATGGCCGCACAGGTTTTATAGACAACCTCATTTTCTCTCTGTGTTGGGTTAAGAAAGAGATTTCTGAAATGCCTATTTCGGATCAAATATGTGAATGCTGATGGTAGTTCGGTTTGTGTCCAAGGGGCGTTTGTAGGGGGGCAATTTATAACTACAAAAAAGTGGTGAAGAGAGAGAGATGTTGTAGAATAAAACTACTTTAAATGAGAGAAAAATCAAAAGTAAACTTGTGGGCCTTTCTTTTTTGAATCAAAAAGTGGAGAAAGCGTGGAGCGTAGAGAGTAGAGAGTACGGTATGAGACTGATGAATGCAAATACGCTTTTCTTGGTGCTGGTGGGGACGACAGAGTTATAACCGGAAAAACTGCAAGGGGTCCACACAAAAAAAATGGGGCATAATCTATAGCGTAATGGTAGGATACAGAGTACGGAAATTATGGTTTGAAAATTTAAGATTAATGATGCTTGTAGAAGCTATATTATTAAATGAAGCAATGATACATTGATTTGATTGAAAGGGATTTTATTTTTTTAAAAAAAATTCCTTCTTAAGTGGGCCATGATAACTTGCCCAAAACACCTAGAAGTTATAACAAAAATTATTTCCCAATTTGGCTAGACAACAAGTCCAAAAACACCAAATATATATAGCTATTTATTACTAATATCAACCATTCATAGCTAACCACTTAAAAGTTTTTGGATTTGAATCTCATTCCATAGAAGTAGAGTGGGAGGAGGGATGGAAGAAGTTCTTTTTTTTTTCTTTTTTCTTTTTTCTTTTTTTGGGTATTTTAAAATGAAAAAAATTGTAATTT